TGATGTATATGTTTATATAACTCATAAGATTAGAATATATCATAACATAAATTAAGTCAAGTGATATGTGATTAAATGAGAAATGAACATGAGATATACGAATATGAATGAGATGATATGGTTATATGAATATGAGAAAAGATATATGTGACTATGTGATCATATGAACATGTGATAACAATATTTGATTGTATAAATATATGAATGTTAGTATATGTGGTTGATATGACTAGTATGTATGCATGAATACATGAATATATGAAATTATAATACAAGCTATGTGATATTAACATAAATGTTTATAGGAATATGTAATATAAGATAAGTGAATTCAATATAAGTGAATACTTGGAATAGTATATAATTAATGTGATATAGGTAATTTTGTAAAACTATGAGATAAGTTATAAGACATTGATATACGAACTATATGAAAGTATATACATGAATACATGTATAAGTTTATATGTTATTCTATATGCTATATGATGTATATGTGAACATATGTGAACAAGATATGACATAAGTGGTTACATGAACATATGTGAAATGATATAAACTATGAGATATGATCTATGTGATTACATGTATATGTGATACATGTTATATGATATGAGATAGATATTTACACACATATGGGGTATGTGATAGAAGAGAAGGAACATGTGATTATAAGATAATGCCCATGTTATATGATATGAGAGCTATAGGTATAGTTGGCATGCCAAGAGTCGAGGGTTACCTATGTCTTTCGAGACATATGGACAGTTTACCTATGTCCTTTGAGACATATGGACAGTGTTACCTATGTTCTTTGGAATATATGGATAGGTCCTTCGGGACACAGATTTCATATGCCACTTAGTGGATTTTATACGAGCTGTGGTGACAGCATCTGTTTGCACAACCTCATCATACTCGTATACCTTGAGTTCTCAATAATGTGCATGGGCTTATAAAAGATGTAAAGAGTGTGTACATGTTTGCATGTTAATATGTTAATATTGTTTATACTGATTCCTATACGACAGTGTGGATTTATAATGTAATATGTATAATTGTTATTAGTTACTAGATTATATGTTTATAATTATAGAAATTCTTTATTATATGTTTATGCCTCACTAAGTCTATGACTTAGCGTGTAAGTGTTTTACACGTAGGTGCTAAGAAGCTTGAGGATCATATTTGAGACCGACAGAACAACATACCTTCACAGGAGATCAGATCAAAAGTAAATCGCATAGTAGGTATTTTGTTGTACTAAAGGGGTTGACATGTAAGCAAATGTTGATTTACTATGCTCTGATCAACTTTATAACGTTTTGAACTCAATGATGTAAATATGACTTTTGTGTTAATAAAAGTTTTAAATTTCATATAGTTTTTATGAATATGCATGTTTTGAAAAGTCAACGTGATACCTCGAACTCGTATCCGGGTCGGGTACAGGTTAGGGGTGTTACAGTTAGTTGGGTTAAGTAAAGAAGAGTTTAATAGTATTGTTGGGGTAAACATAAGGGAATTTGACCAAATTTAGGTTAAAATCGGGCTGAAAATGGAAAATTTGGGTAAGAGTATCGGTACTAAAAGAACAGTACCGATACTATAGGTTTAAAATTGGGGAAATCAGATGAACAGTATTGATAGTGATGCAGTTAGTATCAATACTGATGTGAATATCGATACTAAGAGAAAGGTATCGATATCAAAGATTCCAGAAGGTAGAAATGGTATCGATACTGAAAGGGAGTATCTGTACCATAGTATAGAAGTATCGATACTAAGAGAAAGGTATCGATACCATGGATCCAGAATATAGAAATGGTATCGATACTAAAAGAGAGTACTGGTACCATAATATATAAGTATCCATAACATGGTAGGGGTACCGATATTATTGAGCCAGGAATTATAAGATAGGCTGAAATTTGTTATAGAAATTTAAATAATAGTACTTGTGAGTATTATTAAAGTATAAATGTTAGGGAATATACTAACATTGGGTATGATATGTCTCTGTAATGGATGCTTGTGTAGATCGTAATCAAGCTCCCGAGTCAAGTAAACCGAAAGGCAAAGATAAAGTCGCTGAGTAGTCGAAATTGCATTTTAGATATAATAGCGAGACAGGCCAGGTGAGTGCATTTATTATGTGCTTATATGTTATGATTGTTATAGATGCATGTTGCTTAAGGTATGTATTGTAATTTTCGTATTGGCACTATGTGTGCAACCTAAGAAATTTATAATAAGTTTATGAATTTTTGTATTTGCACTATATGCGCAACCTAAGAAATTCATAATAAGTTTATGAATTTATGTATTGGTACTGTGTGTGCAACCTAAGAAATTCATAATAAGTTTATGAATTTCCATAATGACACTGTGTGTGCAACCTAAGAAATTCATAATAAGTTTATGAATTTTCATATTGGCACTGTGTGTGCAAACCATAGAGTTTATAATGAGTTGAAATAGTCAATTGATATTCGAATTGTTATAATATACTCATGTTTAGAATTTACCTTATGATTATTATGCCACACTAAGTGATTACTTAGCGTGTGTTAATTTCACGCGTAGGTTTTAATACGAGCAGAGTAAGGAGTTCATCTGATATCGCAAATCAAGGATCGCTTAATCAATAATTGTACGACAATCATGTCTACTTTTAATATATTTAGTTGGCATGTAATAGACATAGGAATAACTCTCTGAAAAGTATTTGATTTACAATGATGTAAAATAATAAAATGTTTGAACATTACTTTTGTTTACCTACATAAGTTTAAGGAATGTTTTATTATTATTAAATTAAAATATTTTATAAAAAGAAATAAAATTTTACGGGTTTTCAATTGAGGAAATGTTTTAAAAGTGATGTGATATTTCTATCTTGTGTACGGAAATGTATATGGGAAATGTGTGTGTTACATATTTATTCTCGATTAGAAATAATTAGATATTATCGTTTTATCTCTTAAAATTCAAAGAATATTATGGGATCTTAAATTAAATTAAACTCGAATTCGTTAATTTCCTTGCAAATACAACTAATTAATCGACTAGGTACTAATTTAGGGCGTTGTGGGGGTGTTAATCCTTCTTCACACGTAACCGACTCCCGAACTCAAATTTTGGTAACGCAAACCGCAAATTTATTGTTTTAATTAAAATTAATATTTTTATTAAAATGACAAATATGTTTTTGGGTGCTCAATCACACCCTAATCAAATATTGGTGGCGACTCCTTGAATCACGTTTTACTATTAACATATCAATACATTATTCGAAACGAGATCTTTTAAAAACCATATTTAAATAAAAAAACATTTTCAAACTTGTCTTTAAAAAGGAAAAGAAAAATCGTTTCGATATAAATTTTGTTAAAATTTTGTGCTATTTAGGAAATTTATTAAGACAAATTGAAATGGAAGATATGCCTATAAACTAATAAAAGAAGTAAAGATAAAAATGGAATTAAAACAAATATTAAAAATTCAAAAATTAATTTGAATTATAATGTTTGGATGATTTGTAGTTCGCAAATTTTAAAATTGTATATATTTTATTCTTTTATATAATGTAAAAAGTATATTATATTTAAAAATAGTGAATATAACTCAAAATTGGATTTTTATTCATATATTTCAATTTTCAATTTTTTTTTATCAAAATAACACTTTAAAAATTATTTTTCAAGAGGATATTTATTTCTATACCTTAAGAGAAAGGTGTTTAAGAATTAGAGAAGAAACACACCTTCCTCATCATGATGAAAGCGCCCCAAAAAAAATCTTTCGCTCTTTCATTCCATAAAAGTAAAAGAAAGTGCAACAATTTATTTAGTTTATTGACGGTGTTAGATCTTATATTTTTAGTAGGTTTTACTATTTTTAAATTTAATAATTTTGTGAATCTAGATATTGGCCTTAATAATTAATGGGAGTGTTATTTATCATAAAAGTCAAGGGTTCAAACAACTATATCTATAAGATGTATGTTATCAATAAATAAAAAAATTAAACATATATTATCTTCTAATCACTTCATACTATTAAAATTTAATAAAACTATGATTTTGTCTTATGTTGCACGAATAAAAAATATTATATTTAAGTTTAGGGTTGAAAATGGAGTTTCTTATTTTAGATTTTCGATCACCGCAATGATACAATTGATTAAGATAAATAGTTGAAGAAAGAGGAAGAGAGAAGATGATGAAAAAAGTTCTCATGAAATTTTTTTATTTTAAGATCAATTCTCATAAAATATAATTTTCTTTTTATGCTTTCTCAATATACACTTTATATATTTTGAAAGTGTAAATTCAAAGAGAGGTAAAGTATGTAAATGGTCTCCTAATTATATGATATTACTTTGTTGAGTCCTCTAATTATTAAAACTTACAAAATAATCATTTGATTATTCATTATGTTCTAAACTCATCATTTTCTATTATAACGATAGTTTAAGCTGTACATTAACCTACTGACTGAGATATGATAAAACTTGATCTCATAATCTCAAACGACTATTATCCCAGTTAACATGTTAACGGCTAGTCAAAATGACTGTTAAATTTTTTTAATGGAAAATGACTGTTAAATATTAGATGTACTCAATAAAACAACTCCTTGTAATTAGAGGATCATTTTGTAATTTTTAATAATCAAGTGACTCAAGAAAATAATATTATATAGTTAAGGAATCATTTATCTACTTTACCCTTAAAAGAGTTAGTATAATGAGATAGATATTAGATCTATTAAATAATATAAGAGATTTTAATCTTGATATTGTAATGGAGTAATTAGATTAAGAAAATTGTCTCTCAATGAGTTACTACAATATCTGATCTAGATTAATCAATAATTAAACTAGATATTTTATAAAAAAAATATTATGTTTCTCTTACCATTAACAAATAATAATAATTAAAAATTTATAATGAAATTTCCTTAAATCTAGTATACTATTCATACTCAAACACCTGTATAGTCAACAACTCCCCTAACACGACATATTGGTCCACATCTTCCAATTCTTTGACTCAATCCTTTCCCTTTATTACTATTCACACTTTGAAAATTTGCTTCACTTAATATGTAAGAAACAGAAAAATAAAAGTAGTAGCAAGTCGGCATCTAGAAACAAGAATCTGTAGAAAAAGATAAAGCGAACAATTTTAAAAAAAAAAATTACTTAATCTAATACCAGATCCACCATCCTAGGAACCAAAGCTAAACATTTTACAGAGAAATGAACCAACCCCACTAAATATCTCCTTGGAGATTGAAACTGTTGAATTGGAGATGTTTTAGGAGGATTCGAGGATGAGATTTGTGGTTTCTGCAATGGAGAGGGAATGGTTATGATCGCCTTCGTAGGTGACTATTAGCATCGATGGATCATCTAAGGCTCTTTCCACATGCTTCCGAGCCGGACATCCTCTTACGCTGCTGCACTTGTAGTAGCCCCTGCAAAAGCGTTGTTCATGTTGGAATTTCCAGCAACAAGAAAGTTTTGAAATTTTGATGAATTCATACCTTGGATGTGGAGATCCCTTGATTGGTTTTTGACCGTACTTCCTCCATGAGTAATCATCCGGTGGAATATCAGCCATTTTCAGACTTATTGCTGGAATCCTTACCACCCTTTTCGATCTCAGTTTTCTTGAGAATTAAATAAGAAACTCGACATAAGAACTGGCTTTTAATAACTTGGAAATAGGAAGAGAAACCAATGGAATATATACCTTTTCTTGGAGCAATGGCAGGGACCAGAGGAACCACTACACTTGCCGGAACCCAAATTGTCGGAGTTACACTTCCTCTTGAAAGAAGAAGAAGACAAAGGAGGCTTTCCGGCCGAGGAAACCTGAGAAAGATTAGTAATTTGAAACGGTGATGACGATGAAGATGGCTGCTTGCTATCAGTGTCTCCGGTCAAAGATGACATAAACGAACTCCCGGCAGAAGAATACGAAAAATTCATGGTTTTGGATGAATCTCTCCTCTCTAAAACCCCACTTTTCACCGTCAAAAAATCATGATGATCATGATGATGATAAGTAGTAGCCGGAGGCCGAATATGCTGGATCGGGGTTGCGTAATAAACCATAGCTTCTTGCTCTTGATTTGCTTGGTTTTGGTTAACAGGTGATACGACAGGGGCTCGTCTGAAACGAGCATGGCCGGTCCTGGTTCGACCCAGAAGAGAGATAACTCTCTTGAACTTTGAAACGGCAACGTCCGCTGCTGCTTTGCAGTCCATTTCCAAATCCGGGGAAGATGATGTTGTTGAGATAGAAGAAGCTTGATACTTGTCTTGATTGTTTTGGTGGTGGTGTTGAGTTTGAGAAATTAATCTGATGAGTTTCTCAACGCTTTCGAGTCCAGAAGCGGCTTCCTGGACGGCGTTTTCTTCCATTTTGGCTGCCAAGTAGTTGCCGTTCCTATAATTGGTCATGAACTCCACCGCCATGTCTGCCACAAAAAACCATGAAGAGGAAGAAGAAAAAGTGTAGAAGTAAATGAGGAGAGAAGGGTTGCTGATACTTAATAAAGAAAAAAGTGGTCTTTGGTCAATATGATGCCATCGGCTATGGACCCCGATTGCTCAATTAGGTTACTGAGCTGTCATTTTAACATTTGCCCTCCAATATTGGTACTAATAACAAGATTCAACCACGTTGAAAATTGGTATAAATCAAGTGAGAAATTTGTTGATATGATTTCGGGTTCGACCATTAAATATATCAATAATATGATTTTTTTTATTGTTAAAATGTTAAATTAAACAAATATATATTGTATTTATCCCATAATTATAAAAAAAATACATTGAAAATTGTAATTATTTAATGGATGAGCCTTCACGCACCAAATGTACCACTAATCTGACCTGTTTCACTAATATAAAATAAAATTTTATAAATAATTATTAAATTTTATTGAAATAATTTTATTTTCCATTAGATTTAAAAAAAATTATGAAATACATAATAAATTTTAGATTTTGTTACAATTGGTATTGACCGTTAAATATTATTAAGGAGTATACTAACATATTAAATTAATAGAAAATATATTATTTGACAACTCAATTGTAATTATAATTTTATTTTTGATGTTTTTTTAAATTTGAAGTAATAATTCTAAAAAATATAAATTTAGATTTTTTTAAATATATATATGAAAATAATTTATTTTTAAATATATTTATTTATTTCAAAATTTAATTTTATGAATATTTTAATTCATCAAATTATTTTGTAACTAATTATTTATTTAATTTTTGTTGTAATTGTAAAATTAAAAATTTTATAATTTTTGAGATTCAAAATTTTCAATTATCAAACAAAGAAATTATTTTTTATTAAGCAGTGATTCAAGCATTTAACTTTTTGTTTAAGAAATTGAAATACTATTAAAAGATAATACATCAAAAAATTATAATATCACATTAATAAGAAAAATACATCTAAACTTAAATGAAAATAATATAAACAAATCATAAACTTTTAATAATGTATCAAATAACTTATTAAGACAAATTAATATTTATAATATGATATTAAAAAATAATATTTAATTTATTTACATAGATTTTGTTTTCAATTCAACGAATCAAATAAAAATATTTCAGTTAAAATTAATAGTAAAATAAAATTTTAGTTACAATTAAAGGATAAAATAAGATATTTCATATTGATTTAACATATCACATCACCTCTTTAATAGTAGTTAATAGCATTGTGTCCACTTTGTAACAAAATTTAAAATTTAATACTCATTATGTAACTTTTGAAAGTTTAGAGTTTAAAAATATTATTTTAATAGAGTTTAATGGTTATTTGTAAATTTTATTCTATAAAATTAGTGGTAGATAACATCCATTCTAGAATTTTCCTTATTTGATACACCAATAAGTGCATAATAACTTAAGTAAAAATAAAAAATAAAAATAGTCTTTCAAAAAAACAAAAAGGAAAAATGGATAAGTCTACAATGAATGATATACATCGATATTCACCACTAATTACATATACCAATATGTATCATTGATATAAAATAAAGTAAAATTCATAAATGATCATTAAATTTTGTTAAAATGACATTATTTTTCATTGAATTTTTAAAAGTTATAAAAGAGATATTAAACTTTTTTTTTTAAAAAGTATTACATTATATATTTTTAAGAGGATGATGCATCATGCTAAGTTAACGGAAAATATCTTATTTCTCCCCTCAAATATAAACAAAACTTCATTTTTATATTTTTCAATATTTTTAAGTAAAATTTCTAAAAAATAAAAATTAGATTTTATAAAAAATATGAAAATCTATTTTTTAAAATTAACAACAATATTTTTAAAAAATTATATATACTTTTGTGAAATCTTTTATTTTATCAAATTATTTTATAACTAATTATTTATTTAATTATGGTTGTATTTGTAAAATTAAAAAAATTATAATTTTTGAGATCCGAAAATTTCAATAATCAAACAATGAAATTATTTGTTTATTAAGCAATGTGATTCAAGCATTTAACTTTTGTTTAAGAAATTTAAATGTAATTTAAAACTAATACATTCATAAAATTAAATATTTATAATATGAAATTAATAAAATAATATTTAAATATATTTAAATATATTTTCTTTTCGGTTAAAATTAATAAATATTATTTCAGTTAAAACTAATAGTAAAATAAAAATTTTATTATAATTGAAGGGTCAAATGGGATATTTCTTATTAATTTAGCATGCCAAGTCACATCTTTAATGGAAGCTAATGGTGTTGTGCTCATTTTGTTATAAAATCTAAAGTTTAATATCCATTATGTAACTTTTGAACGTTTAATATTAAAAAAGAATTATTTTGATATAGTTTAATAACTATTTTTAAACTTCACCATAAAAAATTAGTTGTGAATAACAATGTGTGGTATACATTCTAGAATTTTCTGAAAAAATAGGCTTTTTTCAAATATATCTAAAAAATTAATTACCAAAATACCATCCATTGAGGATTGATTCTCCATCTAGAACTCGTTTCTATTAAATAAAAAAAGGTTCGTTCTACAGAAAGTGCTTTACATGTCTTTTGCTTATGTGACTGTCCACCTAGAAAGCATTTTTTTCAGAATGCATTTTTAAATAATTATTTTTTAAAAACAATAAATAATTCAATCTAAAAAATAGAATCCAAAAATAAAATTTGAATATATCATAAAAAAATTAAATTAAACTTAATATAATAATTTAAAAAAGAAAATAATAAAAACCAACGATGTCTTCTTCGCAAATGAGTTCTATAAGGCAGCGATTGTTTATTTTGAGCGAGATTTTTTCGTATAGGTTGCTCTTCAACATGATCTTCATTCTCATCATCTTCATCGATATCAGCAACGATGAAGAAGAAGATCTATGGAATATTGAATACGGAGGTTTATGATTAATAATCCCATCGCTTAATGAGAAATCCAAAAAATATTGAAAAAATGACATCATCGGTGACTGAGTTGAATATGGTGGTGGTGGTGGAGCACCACCCATCATATATGATGCATCTACAATAAACATAAGGTCTATAGGCATATAATATCCTCCCACTGAACTTAATATATAACCTGCAGACTCGACATATACTACTGCATCAGTCCAGATAGTGGATGTTGTGTTGTTTTTTGGTGGTGCTGCTGAGGATAGACCGAAAGTGTATGTTCCTCTTCCACGATTATTAGGGGGATGATGATGTTGTGCAGTCCACGTCTTTCTCAATGAAGATGAATAGACACGCCTCATGTTTTGTCAAAAAACATAAAGAGCTTTCCATTTTTGTTGAACCATGATATTTAGTCAGATAAAATCGTCAAATTAGTGGTCGAAAAATGATAATGGTCAAATCATCTGTAAATGTTATGTAAATTGTTGAGGTTTATGGTTGGTTTTAGAATAAACTGTGTGAAACCAAATTGGTGAAGCACACGGTCAGTCAAATGACACTTAACAATAACATAACATATAAGAGACACAATTGTATGTCATATGTTCAATAGAGCACTAAGCTCGGGTGGGGTGCAAGCCCTCATTTCTATATTCGTATAAGGCTTCTATTGAAACTACAAAAAATATTTTTATTATCAACATATAAATTTATAAATGAGATTCTAAGATAACGTTAATAAGATTAAAATTTTAATAATTAAAAGTGTATATGTGAACTTGATTTTTTCTCAATAAATAACTTTATATCTTAAAACTTATCAGGGATATCCTAATGATATTTTATTGATGATCATCTATTCAATATAAAAAAAATACTCGATTATAATTGACTCATTGATACGCGAATATAAAAAAGACATGTGATATCGCGCTCTGGATAATAGAAAGAGACACTCGTGAATAGAATTTTTTCTATAATATATCACTCTACACATTTTTCTAAATATGAGGGCTAAATCTGTCGATCCCTAATTGAACGTGTCTACTCCTTCAAAATCAAGGAGGTGACGTAACCTCATGGCATACACTTAGTTGCGAGATTTGTAGGGCATCAAGATCCATCATATGATTCATAAAATATAACAAATATTTGTTCATCATCTCCATAACATTGTTGTTCAAATTTTTAAAATTTCTTTGGAGCTACGTTAACGATATTCGCCCGCCGTTAAACTCCTTTAGGACTTTTTCAAGACAGTTGTAGCGCACATTAGTTTAATTATCAACACTCACATCGGTGAGAACACATCCATCTACCGTGAGTCATAATTGTATTGAAACATCCTCCAAAGTAATGGTGCATTCCCCACACGAAAGAATGTGTGTGTCTCTGGTCTTCACCTCTCGATTAGTGAAGAAATGAGAGTGTATTGAAGTTTACAACCTCTAATTATTTGGGATACTACTTGTCTTAAGTCTCTTAAGTAACCCCAAATACGAGGATAAATATATTAATATTATGAACAAATACTTCTAAAATACGACCATTAACCTAATCAGTAAAAATTTAATATATTTAAAACCAAAGTATTAAATAAAACATAATAAAATTTAAAACAATATTATTACTATATTTGGTTGATGAGTCTAAATATGATTTCATCGAAATTTAACATGGTATCCATTTTTTAACTACATATATTTAAAAAATAATTAGTAACTAAAATTAATTAATGAAAAATTTAAATAAAATTTATTGTAACTATTAAAATAAAAAAGAAAGAGACTTGTATATGTTTTCTTTTTTGGTGTGATTTAGGGGGGGGGGGGGGGAACGGAAGAGGCAGGTTAAATTTCACGAAGCTGCGTCATGCAGAAAACACCTTTCAGATAGACAATCATATATAGGTGTTAGATAATGAATTAATCACATGTGGGTATTATTTTGATAATTAATTATTTTGGTATATTTGGATAAAAAAATGAAAAAATATGGTCTAAACTTTGACGGTTAACTATGTCGTATGACACGTTTTTTCTTTGTCGTTTGATACATAGTTTGTCGATTATTTTTTTTATTAAGA